GTCTCTACCAGATGACATGATATACAGGAAGCATCCAAAAGGTTATCTGTAAGTTGGAGGTAGGAGGAGGGAGGGAGGGAGGGAGGGAGGGAGGGAGGGAGGGAGTAATCCAACTTGCCTTCCTAGGTCAGGCAGCCCAAAAGGAAGAAATCTTTGAGCACCTATTCTACCTTGGCTGGTCTGGACGGACTCAAAGCCAAAACATTACTGCTAGTATAGTACTACCAGAACATCGTAAGCAGAAAAGAACAAACTAGTCAATGAAGAACAATGAGGGGAATTTTATAAAAATGTAGGGAAGTTATAATGTATAACTTCTTTTAAGAATGGAGAGTTTATATTATCCTAAACAACAAAAGTAATGGTGATATTCTTATACCTCCATTTTGTATGTGCTATCTGAAAATGGTTCACCATAAAACATTTAAGAACTACTTACTATAGCTATTGGACTTAATCCAAGTGAACATTTAAAGAAAAGTTTTCAAATTTGTACAGTTTCATTCCTCAAATACGAAGACAGTGCTTGCTGAGATGCTTGCATGCCTTTAATTCCAGCACTAGGAAGTCAAAGACATGGTCTCTGTGAGATTAAGGACAACCTGATCTACATTATCAAGTTCCAGGACAGCCAGGGCTATGGAAAAAGATCCTTTCTCAAAACAAACAAAAATGAAGTTGCTAGAGTTTATAAACTTTCTACATGATCTTAAGTAGGCAGACTAGAAAAAAGTGATACTTAATGAAACCATAAAATCCCTATGAATAACAAGAATCAACTCCAAGAACATCTTTCCTCTCCAGAGAAAGGACACAAAGGTTCCTTGCCACACCCCAACTAAAAATAAACAAACAAACAAACCAAAAAACCTTTACCATATCCTACTTACTATATAATAAAAAGCATTTCCAAGTAATATTTTCTTTCTGTTTTTTGGATGGTAGTGGACAGAGTTTCACACTCTGGCTGGCCTAGAACTACACAGACCAGGCTGATCTTAAGTTTACAGCGATCCTCCTGTTTCTGCATCCCAAGTATTCAGATAGATACATAGCACTATATACACTCAAATGGCATTTTCTTAATCTGTGACGGTCCATTAACAAATTATATATACTACAAAAACATATGAAACATAATAACTAAAATGATTTTTAAATTTAAACTTCATATATTTTCACTATTATTACTAAACCAAAACACTAGTAAATGAACTACATGAAGAATTTTCCTCAATAAGTTTCTATTTCCAACTCATAACTTAAAGCCAGTTTTATTTAAATAAATTCTGTGTAATAGTAGTTCTTTTTAAGAATATTCCCATTCAAAGTGAGTAAAGAAAAAACCACCAATGAAGACTCTTTTCTTCAATAACCGCATGTTAAAAAAGATTCACATTCCTCTATCACAGAAACTATTTGATCTAAAGTTTCCTAGAACATTAAAAAATGCTGGGGGCGGGTTAGAGAGATGACTCAGTGGTTAAGAGCACTGGATGCTCTTCCAGAGAGCGCATGTTCGAACCCCAGCACCCACATAGCAGCTAACTTAAGTCTGTAGTTCCAGTTACAAAACTTATCAATCCAATAGCCTCGTATGACCTCTATGGACACAGACACACAATCTAGATTAGATTAGATTAGCTTAGATTAGATTAGATAAGATCAATCTATCCATAGATAATAGATTTTTTAAAAAGACAGAATGAATCCTGGGAACTTAAAGCAAAGTTCCATCTAAGATAAGTTCTGAAAACATTTATGCCCCTTGGGACTCTGGAACCATTAATGTCAAACCTATTCCTTAACTATCTAAGTCAAATTTTAAACAGAAGCTAGGTGAAGCAATGTTTACCTGAACCCCATACATGTGGAGGAAGAGACAGATCAAGTTTCCCTCACCAAAAAATACAAGGCTAGATGATCTACAAAGTGAGATCCCTTTAGGTACATGGCTCATTCCTTTAACTCAGGAAGCAGAGGCAGGTGAATAATTTATGAGTTTGAGGTTACCCTGGTCTATACACCAAATCCTAAGCCAACCAAGGCTACATAGTGAAATTTTGTCTTTAAAAAGTGACGCCAAGATAAAATAAAAATAAATAAAGTGAGATTCCCCACCTCAGGAAAAGGAAAGGTTAGTCGAATTCTCTATACAAATTTGTTTATTAAAGGTGTTAAGTTCAAGTGCACCTAGGCGCAGGTCCCTAGAGTCCTTGGATCTACTGAACCTGGAGGTACATGCTTTTGTGTCCAACAAGCTTTTGTGAGTTGTTTGTTGTGAGTTGGGTGCTAGGAACCAATTTGGCTCATTGGGAAGAGCTGCAAGTGTTCTTAACCACTGAATCATCTCTCTAACTCCTCAATATTTTAGACCTTTATTATCAAACACTTGCAGGACTTTTATTCATACAAGTTTTAGTAACTTAGACTTAGGAACTGACCAGTAAAACACAACACATATAGTAAAATGTCTAACCACATATAGAAAAAAATAAATTATATAAAAATTATTAAATGGACTGATCTAGTCATGTATCAAGAAGATTCTATTCTGATACTAAAGTTAAAAGTTACAAAGATTAATTCTAATGCAGATAAACCCTAATTTCAGAAATTATGTGAACTAGGCACATTAAAATTTTTAAGAACATTAGTAACTATGAATTATACATATAAAAGCAGGGAAATCACTTGTGAGCAACAAAAAATTTTACATTTAATATACATTTGCCTGTCTTGATAGTACAAGAGAAATTTTCTGAAAAGCAGAATGAGGTAAGAAGCTGTTGAGGCTCATAAATGATAATTTCAAAACAAAAGAGAAGGGAAAATATTAAATTGGAAGGATGTTTGAGGAATAACTAAAAATAAAGACTTATCTAAAAACTTCCCTTGTCTGTGTATTTTAATTCTAGCAAATAATCAGCATATGAAAAGTAGCAGATCTAGTTACTGAACTAATAAAACTAGACAGACATCTGACCACTGTTAGTCTTTTTGTTGCATTCCTAAGCAATTCTTTTCATGATTATTTTATTGTGTATGATTATTCTTTAAATTCCTACAGCTTAAATTTATTTAAATTCACCTTTTATATTTAGAAAATCATATAATAAAAACAAATTCCATGGTACTCAGAGCCATGAATAGGAAAACTCAGAGCCATGAATAAGAAAACTTTAATAAAAAAAAAACTGAACTTTTTTAATGATTACCTAAGAGTAACTTCAGTCCCCTGGCAATTTATTTTGGAAATCAGCAACAGACAAACCCTATGTCCAAGAAACACCAACTAACTGAATCACACAGAAATTTAATTCAAACCAAGTATGCTGGCACAGGCTTTTAGTACTACAAGCACTAGGGAGGCAAAGCTAGGTGTATTTCTGTTCAAGGTCAGTCTAGTCTAGAACAGCTGTTTCAGAACAGCTAAAGACACAAAGTGAGACCCTGTCTTTTAAAAACATAAACATAAACAAAGAACAAAATAATGAATTTCAGTTAAACCTTACCACCATTAATTAAATTTTGAAATCAAAAACAACCAAACAAATGACATAAGATATCTGATCTTTTACCACTTTTGCTCTTGCTAAACTGGAAAACACTGGCCTTCTTATCACTGTCTACTGAGTCCATTTTTAACCCTGTTGTTCCTTTGGGGAATGCTCCTCTGGCAGGACTTTAACCTCACAGAGAGGCCTCTTTGACTACCCTCAGAAGTGGTTACACCTGTAGAATTCAGGGTCAAATATAGGACACGAGAGCTCAATAAATGCTTGCCGAATCAATCTGTAAGCCTACAATTTCAATAACACAGAAACAAATCTGGCCATTTAAAAACATATTAGCAAAATACTTGATAGAGTACCAATTTGAAATTTAAAAAACCAAAACTTCAATAGACTTATGCCAAATTCTAAGTATAAAATTAAATCTGAACTCAGAAATCACCGCAAATGTATTATGATTTTATGTCATGTGAGGTGTGTAAATATCTGATGATTCACGAGCAAAGAGAAAAGCAACAGTTTTAGGTCTTACGTATATAGACAATGCATACTCATAGTATTTTAAAGTATAAGGTGCATGCATCAAAATATACAAATGCAAAATAGAATTAAAAGTATACCTTACCTACATCATAAAACACTGTCATTTGCTACACAACAAGAAGTGTTAAACGGAAAGAAGTTAGGCTATTTCTGGCCAGGCTATTTTACTTATGGAATAGCTTTAAAAAAAATAAAATTAGAGAGCCTATTCAGGAAATTGAGAAAGGAAGATTCCTGGAGCCCAGGAGTTCTTAGTCCAAGCTAAAAAACAACATGAAAAAAAGCAAGGAAGACAGCATAGGGGGCCAAGACTAAGAAAGGAGAATGAGGGAAGAAAGACAGGAAGGGAGGGGTATGGGAGGGCAGGAGAGAGGAACAGACAGAGAAGGGAAGAGAAAGAAAAGAAGGGGAGGATAAAAACAAATGAGCTAACTGAAAATCTTTGAACCAAAGACTTATATTCACAAATATATAAATATTTGGTTCCAATAAGTGTCTGTAAAAGTACTCCATCAACTATTACACTCTGTTTACTCATTTAACTGACCTGAAGACAGATCCCATGTCACTGAGCAGTCTCAGCAATGGCTCGATCACTGAACAGTCCCATTCTTATTTTTCCAAAGACAATTACATTTGAAAGAACATAAGATATTAGACCAAAAAAAAGGGGGGTGTCCCATATGACCTTCAACTCAAAGGCTTTAAACATCCCAAGTTTCAAATTAGTCTAGACACTTATAAATTCAAAATATGATTAGAAAAGAAGAAAAAAGGGTAAAACACTCATGAATCAAATAATATCACACAGACCTATCAGTACTACAATGGTCACTAAAAAATAAATGTTTCAATTAGAAAATGCTAGAGAATAAAAGTTTACCATCTGCTCCTCACATAAAAGCCCTGGAACAAACAGCCTCTGCAGTCCTGATAACTTACCGTCACAGACTTCAGTGTCATGCCATGGTATGTGCCCATTGTATCAATCTTAAAGCCTTCCGTCTCTGCAAAGAAAAGAGCTTATTATGACTTATGTATTTCATTACACACAGAAAAAAATTTCTATCATAATTTACATTACACCTAACAATTCAACAGTGTAACAAGGCCTTACTTAAATATACTATACACAGTTTTGTCACATAATCCTAAAAATTAAAAACTTTTGAGACGCTAGTTGCAAAACATATTCAATAAATGACAAAGCATTGACTTCATAGAATTTGGTTAAGATTATTTTTCAAATTTAGTTTGAAAACCACACCAAAGAGCTAAAGAGAAAATCTCAGCAGTTAAGAGCATTAGCCCCTTATGCAAAAGACCCAGGTTCAATTCCCAGCACACACAATCTGTCCAGAACTGCATTTAACTTCAGTTTTGGGGGATCTGATACCCTCTTCTGGCATTATGCACACCAGGTACATGTGTGGTACATAGACATACACATAGGCAAAATATTCATATGCATAAAAATGAAATAAAACTTAAATCACACTAAATAAAAACTTTTAATCCCTTTATTTTTAGTAACTATTAAATGATTGTACCAATAAAAGCAAGTAAAATAGAAAGCTCATAAATTATACCAAGTTTTATTCTGAAGTTTAATGTGAGGGACAAATTATACATTTATTAGAAAATGCTGTTATGAACAATGAGTTGCAGGACGAAAGTGCAACATGCTCTCTTCTCTCTCTGTGTTAAAAGTAAGCATTTAATTCTTTACACGCATGGCAATTTATTTCTCATTTCTGTTTTAGTTCTTGCTATGGTCAAGCAACTAACAGTAGTCAATTTGGAACTTTGACAATATTTTACCAGAGGAAAAATGATATAAACATTCTATATGTTATTAAAACAAAATATGCATTGTTTAAATTTCACCTAGGTTATATAACTACCAGAGAAATATTTTTAATTTTAAAAAAATGTTCACATAGTATGCTCTAGTCTTCTTGGTAAAGATCACATAGCAAATATTTTACAGACTACAGACCAAATACCTTTGTATCAACTATAAGATTCTGTAGCTGTGGAGCAGAAACAAGATGTATAATATGTGTATACATGGAGACGCTGAAGATCGTCCTTAAAGGATTAGATTTGCTATGAATTGCTTTATTCAATCATTCCATAAGAAAACAGCAGTGAATTAAAAAAATGGACCACTGTCTTTGTGTGGCACCTATTCACCATGTGCCTTTCTCTGGTAAATGAAGTCGGCACATATAATTCACTCATCAAAGCAACACAGTCTTTTTAAAAATTGCCTGGAGACTTCAGATTAAACAAAAGTAAAACATTATAAACTTTCAGTATTTCTATCTCCTGTCTTCATAAGTGAAGTCAAAATAAATGAAATTTTCAAGAAAAACTGGTGGTAGTCTCACGTCATTAATAATGAAATGGCTCACAATTGCATTAGGTAGACTGTCAAGCAAACTGTAACAAAATTTGCTCTCACACTTGCTCCAAGTCTATGCTTCCCTATCCCTTAAAATACACATTCATTGTTTGGGAAACAATTCAACACATAGCATTCCTCATCCCAAAATTCTTTATAACCACAATAACCATCAATAATAACAAGCATTTGTGGGTCGTCTATTACATTATCAGACATTACTCCAGGAACTTCATTTTCTGTACCAGGTTTATATCCAAAGCAGCCCTATGAAGTAAGTTATCAGTGCTATTTAATATTTAATTACAGATACGAGGTCAGAGAGAATAGAGTTGAAAGAACAATAAAATCCACATAAAACTTAACTGAAACACAAGCCATCTGGATCCAGAATCAAAGCTACCAACAAGAGATTAACCAATTTTGTTGTGTAGAGTCCAAATACTCTTTTCAGGTGTTATAGGCTACATGCCCTCTCTCTACCTAACAGAACTATGAGAGCTAAAGAGCTATAGATCACACATGAATGAGTAAATCTGGCTGTGTTTAAACTACAACAAACAATAATAAAAGCTTTATTACAAAAGGAGGTGATTGAACTAGACAGATCGGGACTACAGAGGTTACTTAAGAATCCTTATTCTTAAATATCAAACTACCCTGCCACTCAAGCTCAGCACGACAATAATGAGACGAACATAAAGAACAGGCCTTTGTTTATCCATACCTTCTTTGCCTTTGAATCTTTCCTGGTCATATCTATTGTAGGCCGCTGGGATAGGCTGCTTTGTACGCAAAGTAGGATCCTAAAACAAAACAGAGATGCAAGTCAGTATTTTTAAATATTACTTACTTAACACTCGTAAAGTCTGATACAGACACATATAAAATAAGTGTTATTACCAATATGAGCCAAAAGACAGAACAAGGTAAGAAGACTACTTGGCATTTGATGACTAGAATTCCAGTATTATTTGCTACTAAAAAATGACAAATAAGAACAAACAATTTCAAATGTACTTGGACCAAAACTGCAGATAATATGGTAAGCAGAGATACTCAAATTACTTAAATGTCTGTGAAATAATACTCTCTACAATGATAATCTGAACAGAGTGAGTTCCAGGAGAATCAAGGCTACACAGAGTTATGTCTCAAAAAAAACAAAAGTAAAAAGATGTTCAATAAACACTTAAAAATGTATACTCTAAAAGCAATAGATAAAACTTAAAAAAAGCAACTTTCTAACTATATATAAATTAATTCAAATATTTCATACTAAACTCATAGTCTATAGTAACCTAAAAATGGTATTTTAAAAACACCTTAAAGGTATTTGGGAAAATCGTACTATTTATATATCTTCATTTTGTTACAATAGGATTACACTCGAACATTACAAAAGAAAAGTTATCAAAGACTATAGCTACTATGGATCATACATATATATGTATATGATCAAATGCCAAACATAAAAATCTCAACAGTTTTAATGGCTGTAAAATACACCATAGAATATTCACACTCAGAAAGACAATGGTGTATTGTTTTTAAGGCTTCACATTCTTCCCACCAATTACTATTACAGGTGTCCGATTTGTTATTCTAAGTATCCTACGCTTTAACATCACAGAACTTACTATACTTCATTTCATAGACTTAGGCTTAATTTACTACAATATGAACTCAAAACAGGACGGAGACTATGACATCGTATTATTTTATCCCTGGATGCTCAGAACACTGCATAGCAACTAGATGCTATTTTTGGTAAGTCAACTAAAAGTATCTGTCTAAATATTATCAAGAACTCAGGGGACTGGAGAGATGGCTCAGCGCAGAGGTCCTGAGTTCAATTCCCACAACCACATGATGGCTCACAACCATCTGTAATGAGATCTGGTGCCCTCTTCTGACCTGCAAATGTAAATGCAGACAGAACACTGCATACATAATAGATACATAGATAGATAGATAGATAGATAGATAGATAGATAGATAGATAGATAGATAGATAGATAGATAGATAAATCTTTTTTTTAGAAAACTCAGTATTTGTAAAAATTAAGTATCAATAATTTCATGCATAAATAAAATTACTTCCAAGGCTATGTTTAGTACTCTACCAATGTTTCTCCAAATTCTACAAAAAAGTGAAATCAATTTGAATTATATTTTCTGCCTTTCTTGAATCTTGAGAACAGGTAGATGGATTTACAGCAAACTAAAGGGTATTTCCTAATTTAATGGAGACGATATAGCATGCATGAATTTAGGATTTGGAGAATTTTAAGCAATACCTGAAAGAGTGAGGCAGTCAACTTAGCTAAAGCTGAGGTACAACGAATGGGCCATATGGCAGGTGACAAGGAAAAATATATAACAATATAAAATGGTCACCAAAGATTTCAAACAAGTCCAAAATGGAAGGTAGCGATTTATATTTTTAATAATAGCTAACAATTTTCTGAAGCAATAAATAAGCCAGCTACAGTTAACCTAAAAATTAAAATAGAAGGTTTTTCCTAATTAACCCCTTTTCAGACTCTCATCCAGGTATACATCAAGAATGACCCAAAATTACTGCTGAGTTAACTTTTAAAACTAGAGAGGGTCTTTATAGCCTTCGAGTATGCTAAAGGAGCAAGCTTATACCCTACTGTTGTAAAATGTTTAAGATGTCAAAATTACAAGATAAAATACAATATAAACATCACTTTCTTAAAACAACAACATAAGCAGAAAAGATTCTTACCACAGGGGCTGTATTTGGAGCAGGCCGCTGTTCAGGGGCACGCCCTTCTTCTCTGGCTTTTACAGATTGAAGAATTGCAAAAATGTTCTTGGAAAAATTCTAAAACATGAATAAATTCTAATTAAACTCAATGTACATGTGCAAAAGCAGTTGTTTTTCCATTAAGCGATTTATATCAAAATTTTCTTTCTACTAACGTTTCCTATTTTACAAGGTACAATAATTGCTATGGTTTGGAAGTGATTGGTCTCCCAAGGATTGGCATGTGAGATAGGTGCTCCTAAATGTAGGATGTAGAGGTAGAGGAGCCTTTAAATGGTGAGGTCCAGTGAGGAACAATTAGCTATCTGAGCACTGCTATCAAAAGGGGTTGATAGTGGTCTTGAGGCATTACCACATCACATAACAACAGGTGAAGCTGCCCAAACTTCAATTTTCAGTCTCCAGATCTTGAGCTAAATATCTCTCCTTCCCTCACCCCTAATGTTAGGCTCTCACATAGTCACGCAAGTGTTCTATACTAGCTATGTCCTAGTCCTAACCTCCTATGAAGGTCTTACCTTGGGTATTTCATTGAGGTAATAGAAAACAAGCTACTGTAATTATACATAAAAATAAAAGCCAACTACTTGAGTCTGGTTATTACAAATACTCAAATAGACCAATTACATACAATTTTTATTATTCTGCATCTACTCAAACATACAGAACCAAGAAAAGTAACCATTTAAATGTAACAGATTTCTATGAAAGGGGACTACTAAATCCTCAAAGTGCAATAACTCCTGTGCTACATCCAGATTGCCAAGGACTTCCTCAGATGCCCAAAGGTTACAGATACTTGTAGGAGTCACTGTACATTTTTTAAATCTGAAAAGATGGGAAGTAATCATAAATCAGCTTTTCCATTAATACCCAACATAGCCAACAAGGTGATTACTCCTTCCTTCATGAAATAAACTTCCTCAGTCCTGATACATTATTCTCCGATGACTTTTTTGCCTTATGACTAACAGTATCCCCCAATGACTAACAATACTTTTGGTCTTTTTCCCCCCCTCTACCAAGCATTCAATGGTTTAAAAAATATATGTGCATCTATTATTAGCTAAATACCTTAACTGACACTAAAATCCATCGATGATCAACAATCACATGGGTCCTGCTCTCATGTACTTCAAATCTAATACAATTCTCTTCTCTAGAAAATGAAGCATTCTGGAGCCACCAAAGTAACTCAACAGGTAAAGCACCTGTAACAAAAGCCTATCTCCCAGAGTTCCATTCTTAGAAACCATGTAAAGGTAGAAGAAAGAGAATCAACTCCACAATATTACCCTTTAACTTACTTCCCCATTTTCACCATAGCAAATGCAAACACACACACTGACAAACACACTTTTTATTTTTAAAAAAGAAAACTGGGGGCTGGAGAGATGGCTCAGTTAGGAGTACTTGTGGTTCAATTCCCAGGACCCACAAGGCAGCTTACAACCATCCTTAACTCCAGTTCCAGGAAAAGTGACATCCTGTTGTGGTCACCATAGACTGTGTACAGTGTACTAACATATATGAAAGCAAAACACTCATACACAAAAATAAAAATAAGTCTTTTTAAAGAAAAAAGAAATTGAATTGCTTTGTTTCTTTGGCTTCAACTACTTGTCCCACTTTATCATTCCATCTACTTTATTAATTAAGTTTTCCTAGTGAGACTAGCATCAACCTCATGGCCTGCAAGCACCGTACTAACATGAAATTCTTTACCTTTAAATAAGTTACCTGTCTTATATTGCATCTCATTGCTGCTTGTACTAAACTATTATCTCAGGGCTAATGACCAAAGCATCTTCAATCACTGCCTAGCTTGTATATGCTAAATATTATGCAAATGTATACAAAAGTTAGATTCTAATATTAGGTTCTAATATTAACTGTATACCACTGGTATAATTACCACCATATTATGACACTAAGTAGTTCCTGACTCTATACAGTAGCAAATATAGGTCTCAGAACTTCTTTGCCATCTTAGAAACTATTGAGGACTCTTGCCAGGCGGTGGTGGTTCACGTCTTTAATCCCAACACTCAGAAGGCAGAGGCAGGGGGATCTCTGTGAGTTCAAGGCCAGCCTGGTCTACAAGAGCTAGTTCCAGCACAGGCTCCAAAGCTACAGAGAAATCCTGTTTCCAAAAACCAAAAAAGAAACTATTAAGGATTCTTAAAAGCCTTTAAACTAAAGCTACAATTTATCACACTAAAAATTAAAACTGACAAATTTTTCAAGTAGGAATTAATTTTTTAAAAAATATAAGAAAAGCAAGATTCTATACAAACATAATACATTTTATGAAAATTATTTTCCAAAATCTACCCAAAAAGTAGTAAGACTAAAACTTGAAATTTTATAAATGTGTTTAATATCTAGCTTACTAAACATGATAGCTGCATTCTGGTATATACTTCTGCATATCTATTATGTTATCCTGCTTGGTCAAAGATAAGAAGAAAATCTAGCTTCAGCAGTAAAGGGAAAAGGATTAAGAGATGCTGCAAGTGGAAACCACATTCATAAATACTAGCATTACTACTCAAAGTATATAAAGTATAAATACACTTTTTTCTTTTTCTTTTTCTTTTTTTTTTTTTTTTTTTTGGTTTTGGTTTGTCCTGGAACTAGCTCTTGTAGACCAGGCTGGCCTCAAACTCAGAGATCCGTCTGCCCCTGTCTCCCAAGTGCTGGGATTAAAGGCATGCGCCGCCACCGCCCAGAATTAAATATACTTTTTAAAGTATATAAAGTATAAAGTGTAATCTACTTTGCTCTTTAAATGGATTTCTTTCATTCATGCATTGGTTCTCTGGAAAATATCTATCATTGAGTTAAGGAATTATGTATATTTTCCAAACATTAATACATTGTATTATTCAACATTTTATAATACGTATTTGCTGATGACATTTTCATTAAATCATAATTTTAATATGATTTACAAAAGTCTTATCAAAACAGTCAAAAATCAGAAAGCTGGAAAACTCACAGTGGAAAGAAATTCTACAAAATTTTGAATTTTTCAGGAAAGTTCACATCTGATCACTGGCAACAAATACTGTTTGTTGCTTTTCTTGACAAACTCCTTCAAGAGTATGTCTATAAAATACCTAAGTCTGAATAGCATAGTCATTCAAACAAAATGTGATGGTTTTCTTTTTTAAAAATGTGCTTTAGTTAGTAACCCAAGCCATAACAGAAATGCTGCTCATAAAAGCAACCACAGCTTTTATAAAGTGCAGGACTGCTTTCCACATTCAAATTTCATTGGATATATTAAAGGGTCACACTTTAGCTAAGGTTAAAACTGTTAAGTGAGGAACTCAATGATTTGCTAGTAATGGTGGATGACTCAAGTACCAGCAGTTTTAGCAACCACGGCTTCTGTACCATCACTGCAAATGTCAGCACAGTGCCAAGTGCAAACAAAACCTCAGTTCTACTGTGAAAACATGAAAATCAGATCACTTTTTAAGTGAAAAACTGAATGAATGACATAACTCTGAAAGAATCAATCGAAATAGCACCAGGAAGTTTTGTGTGCAAGAATTATAGGTGATTATCTTTGTACAAATATATTTATACAATCATTATATCTAAGATTCAATAATAAATTACTTTGATCTGAAAACATCCCCCAAAATCTATGTGTTGGAAACTTTATTTTCAATACAGTACTATTGAAAGGTAGGATTTTTAAGAAGTGACTTTCAAAATAGATTAAGTGAAGACTAAATGAGTGGCTCAGTGATTTTACGAGTCGGTTTCTGATAAAATAATAATTAATTTCAGCCCTCTTTTTCGTTCCCTCTCTCTCACCCAGGTGATACCTTCCGTCATTTTTGATGCAGTAAGAAAGCCCTCATCAGATGCAGTTCCTTGATCTTGGACTTTCCAGCCTCTAGAATGGTGAACCACAGAAATGTCTATTCATTATAAATTACTCAGTCTGTGATACTCTGTTACAGCAGCACAAAACAGAATAAGTCATAATAATTGAAAGGCACAGAAATTTATTTGTTACAAGTTAATCTGTGATATTCTGTTACAGCAGCACAAAACAGAGTAAGACATTTAATATAATTTAATGATACTACAAAATCAGGTTGCTTTAACAAGGGTGTAGTAACTGTATAGAGAGGATGAAAACTTGAACTTTCTATCCCCTTAAAAGTCAGAAAATAAGAGTCTGATCATAGGTAATGATGAAAGTCATCTGTGACGACTGCACTAAGCCAGTGTTGTCACACTTGGCAACCTGAGTTCAATTCCAGGAACCCACACAGTGAAAGGAAAAAAACTGACTCTCACCCGGTGTCTTCTGACCTCCACATGTGCACTGTGACAAATGTGTCCACACATACACGCAGAGCAAATACAAAGTCTATGTTGCTCTAAGTGTCTATAACATCTACAGACTTTAACACATGAACACAGTATATAGACCTAGAAATCAGCAATCAAAATGTTTAATTTTGATCTTTAAAAATGATAATATTCAAAAATAAAAATTTTTAAAGATAATATTCATAAAGCAAACCTAGCTTCTAAACAGTTGTTAAATGATTTGTTTTTAAAAAGAATCACAGTGGTACCAACATTAAATTAGAACACTTTTAAACTGGTACAATCCTGCCACCTAGAGTTGATAGAAAAGAGTTCATCTCAACAATTTAACATTTTAAAGTTTCAGACAGAAGAAAACTGTAAGTTAAAGACTGTCAAGTTAAAATGAACTTTAAAAATAAGGCCAGACATAGTGGCACATACCTTTAATCTTTAATTCTAATACTCAGAAGGCAAAGGCTGGTGGATCCCTGTGAATTCAAAGACAGCCTGGTTTACATAGTAAGTGCCAGGAAAGCCAGAGTTACACAGTAAAACTCTGTCTCAAAACAAAACAAAAAACTAAAAAGTCACAGTGTTAATCAAATATTAGTCATGTGAAACAATGAAATGAGAATGCTATCATTTAACTGCAAATAACAGAAAATGAAGAATGAGTCTATTTATAACCTCATATTGCTTTAGAATTCCAAGCTCTAGAATGATCCTTTTTTTATTACTAAATATGAAGATGTGGACACATGCACCACAGTGCAAGTGTAGAAGAGTGGAGGGGAGTCAGTTTTCTCCTTTCATCTTTCCAAAGATTCTAGGCATCAAACCCAGATTACCAGGATTGTGTGGGTAGCACCGTCACTCCAGAACTATCTCACTGGCTCTGAAAAAACGGCTCCTTTTTTTCTAAATTACTTATTATTATTGTTGTTGTACACACACACACATGCATAATATGAATGTGGGAACATACATGCCACACCATGTGTGTCGGCCAGAGGACAGCTTTGAGGAACTGGTTTTTCCTTTCACCTTTACATGGCTATTGAAGACTCAACCCGGGTTGCCAGGCTTGCATAACGAGGGCCTTTACCAGCTGAGTCATCTGTCTGGCCCATGGAAAATGCTTCTTAAAATGTAAGACAAGTCAAAGTAAACAGAATAAAATAAATAGAAATCATTATTTTCCTTACACTCTTTCTAAAGGTTCACTATTATTCTACAATTAAAACCAGTCAGGGCAGGTGACACATACCTGCACTCACAGCACTTTGGAGGCAAACGCAGGCCTAGGTCACTAAGAAAGACCCTACCTCAAAAAAGCAAAAGAGGGTCTCTAAACATAAAGTCTCTTTCAATGTTAACCTCAGTTTCACAACAATCTCACACACTTCTTCAAATGTTCTACCAAACCACCATTATTTGTGCAGCAATAGAGAATCAATGACAAAGGAAACTTAGAGGAAAGTCCACAACGCAGAGGAAAATATGTACACAGAACAGAACTGATGCATCTTATCCAAGAGATCAATTGACATACTAGAGCGTCTATTATTAAATTTTTAAATTTCTTTTATTAATGTGTATGGTGTATGTGTGTGCGCGCGCAGGCGCAGAAGCATATACAAGAGCCACAACATATGCATGGAGGTTAGATGAAAACAGTGGAGTCAGTTCTCTCCTTCTCCCTTCACGTGGGTTTGCATAGTCCTCAGACTGTCAAACTCTCATTCAAATTCTTATCTTTCAAAACTTACAGAGCATACATTTGCTCTGAGCAGAAGTTGAAAAAACTCAGTCCTTGGCTAATTTATTAATTTATTTACAAACATAAATAAAACTTGAAACCTATTAATAAATTTTAAACAATCCTATGACACTCCAAAGAATGAGTAAAATATTTAATTACCTTTCCTGTGCTTTGTAAGATAGTTGTTCTTGTTCTCCACACTCTCTCTCTGCTGACAATATCTCTGGTCACATCTACCTCAGCATCCACAAAACTCCTCTGTTTAAGGGCAGTTATATCATCATCTAGATCAGTCTTGATAGTAGATCTTTTCTTAGCCATAATTTTGGCTTTGATTGCAGCAATTTTTTCCACTGACATGGCTTCAGACAAAGACCTAAAAGTAATTTATTTTTAAAATTTCACAGCAAAGATTCCTTCTGTACAACATTTATACTGTTGCACTTAAATTGATGATTTAAAGAGAAAAAAAACACCACTGCAAGTGACAATATGCTTTTATCTAAAACTTAATATTTTAAAGTCACACAGAATTTTACAGGAAACAATTCATAAAGATAATACTCTAAAAGCAAGTTAGTAATTTATTTTAATTTTATAAGTATGAGTGCTTTACCTACCTGTAGGTCTATGTGTTGTTTCTGTGCCTGGTACCCAAGAAAGTCAAGAGGCCTTCAAATTCCCTGAAACTGAAGCTACAGGCAGTTATAGGCCACTACGTGGGTGCTGAAATCAAATCAGGATCCTCTGTAAGAATGGCCAGTGCTCTTAACCACTGAACCATCCAGTCTTGAATTAGTAATCTCTTTAAATTAAAATTTAAAACTAATAATAAAATTCCTTGCTTTTTTAGAATCTCCCACAGAAGAGCAGAACTAATACGGGTGCTTTTGCTTATATTCCTGAGGCTTTACCAGTGTTATCTATACATGTACCTCTCTATATATGAAAACTATAAACAAGCATCTTGTGATGGGGCGAAAAAGTCATTCTGTAAAAAGGCTAAAGCTTGGGTTTTTCCATGAAATGTATTTCAAGTTTGTAAAGCTACAGGCTACATATACGACTGACCTCAGAGCCCAAAGAGACTTAATATGCCACAATAGTCCTTTCAATTTATGGAAGACAAAACCATACCTAATTTAATTAAAACTTCATTATAAAAAAAACTTTAAAATTAAAAAAAAAGACATACTGAAATAAATGTACTTTGGACAACTTCTATGTCTTCAATTTACTTGACTCTCAAATAGGCAAAAAGCATAGTCCTTTTATTTAAAAAATGTATTCACCAACAATGACATAAATAAAAACTGTAGTATGCAATGAAAAAAAGAAAACTTCTTAGTGCTTTCAATTTCCTGGTGTGTTTCTCTTTGAGATTCAGGGACAATAAATCAGTATTCCAGGGATTAGAGAGATGGCTCAGAGGTTAAGGAGCACTGGTTGCTCTTGCAGAGGACCAGGGTTCAGTTCCCAGGACCATATGGTGGCTCAAAACCATCTATTATTCAAGTTCCAGGAAATTACCATGTCTTCTTCTAACCTCTGTGAGCACCAGGGACATGGTACACAGACATACAGATAGGCAAAATATTCAAACACCCAAAGAAAGAAAATAAACCAATCTAAAATTTCAAGGAAAAACCTCAGTAACCCAGGAATTCAGTTTTCAAAAATATATTGTTTTAAATATACTCATAACAATCTTCATAGCAATTCTCTAATATAAATAATAAAAATCCATGTTTAAAAAATGAAATACATGTATTTTATTAGTGTACAAAAATGTACCCAAAAAAAAGAAAGAAAGAAAAATTTAATGGAAAAAATAATTTAAAATTCTGGTCTCCCAATAAGGGAACATCCCTTTATGAGAGCACATGTGGAAACCACCCTTTAAGGTCTGAGTTGAAGATGTGTTTTTATTTTTCAATAATATAAAACAAGAAAAATAATCCAACAGTGGTTGAGAACTGGTACAGTGGTATAGTCTTTACCCAGCATACATGAAATCATACATTTAACAAAGGCCTTAAAAAACAGAACATAGGCCAGCAATCCAGTGTGTCATCGAAACTCTACCAGCACAGGGCAAGTGTCGAGGCCTTGCAGGAACAGCTAAAGATATAATAATCACGAACAAAGGGTGACAAGAGGAAAAACTAGGAAAGAATATATGCTATAATTTGAAACTGTCAATACAGTGTCCAGACACGGACAGTATAAAACATTAAAGAAAAATGACATCCCAACTCAATTCTTATATATTGACTCATCAATTGGAGGAAATGTGGCTCCAGTGTCACTGTAATAGGCACAAACATTTCCAAAGAAATTCTAAACACGGTCCCTCCTGCACATTGCTTTCCTGCTCAAATCTTAATTAGTATACAGTAAAAACCACGGGTGCAGATTAAATATTGTGATTAAAAAAAAACAATGTGTTTGTTTGGAGAACTTTCTGCAGTTCAACAAAAGACAGTTTAGTACGGTTCATAGAAGTCCTGTCTTTTCACCTGATTTGTAACGTTAAAACATACCATAAATGAGTTACCGAAGATAATTTACTTTCTACCTTTTTCTCCTACTATTTTGCATTGATTTCTAGCTGTAAAATTAAAGCCTATAAGCATGTTTTTAGTCAAATTCAAATTGTTTTTATTACATGTTTTGTGTGTGCACACACACATGCAATACAATGTGTGAAAATCAGAGGACAAATTACCACACCTCTTTCCACCATGTGGGTATAGGTACCAAACTCAGGTCACTGGTTGAACTTGGCAGCATGGTCTTTACCAGTGAGCAATCTGGATGACTCTCAAGCCGACACTGGACTTTCAATGATCAGACTTCTACTTCTGGTCAAGATGAAGTGTCAGTGGTTGGAACAGCTCAACAACCACAAATAACTTTAGCTCAACTTCACAAAATAAGGGCTTACTAGATATTAGGTACACACTGAATGACAGTGATTCTCTGACAAATGACAAATGAAGTCACTCCTTTAACTTCCCTGGCTTACTGCCTTGAAAATTTTCAAACTAGGTACTAAGAAGAACCCAGAGAGAACTTAAACAAGGCCAAAGTGTTTACATGGTACAGAATATTTAAGAGCTGAACAGAGGTATTGCAATAGAATGCCAGCACATGGAATTAACAAAGAAATTATCTAAACCTGGAAACAACCAGCATCCAGTAAGTTTAAGCTGGTAATACAAGACTGGTGTTCTCATCAGCTAAAATGAAAAATATCCATGAGATATTTAGGAAGTCTACTTAAAACCGTATTGTCTCTACAGTGAGTGAGAATAACACTGTAATTTATCTCTGTTTAATGTAAAGTTCCCAGGAAAAAAGCCATGCCTATGGTGAAGATTACACAAGGCAGTCTGCTGAGTAACTAGAAATTCCTTGAGAGTGGGAATGTCACAATTCCATAGTCAAATTGTGGGTCAGGAAAGAGGTTACCCTAGAGGATCAAGAAAAAGAAAAACAGAAAACAGCTATGTGGATTGGTCAGAGCTCATGTGTGAAGTCATACCGATCCTTTCTCCCCAGATGCTACAGACACATAAACCCAGAAGCAACTGAGTTATGTAACTATCAACTGCAACCTCTGACACCGTAAGACAAAACAGATCTTCCTCTAACAGTCTAACAGAGAAAATTTGACAAACAGGATAGGGTTACTGCTGTGATCCCTTGACTGTTCCATTCAGAAGCTTTCACAACTGGTTTGTGGGAAGAATTTATTAAGTTTGGAGAGATGGGCTAGGTAAGTCCTAGAATGCTTTATAGACAGAGCTTAATTCTTGTGGGACCTCAGAAATCCAGAATGCCCTAAGACTGAGACTGGCTAATTATGTGGTTTCATAGGAGTAAGACCCCTATTAGGACTTTTACAGAAACCATTTTTACTATACTATTATATAGAATTTGTCAGATTTTGTCCATGCTCCCAGACTCTGTGTGGGGTTAATTTAAAAGTAGTAATAGAAAGGCAGAAATGTCAAGGCAGTTCCGCATGGATACTGCAAAATACAGGCATGGAAAATCTGCCACAGTAACCACACAGCTCATGTGGACTATAACAAGCCAGGCCATAGGGATGGGGCTACCCAAGCCCAATGGCGCACACATATCATATTATCACATCATATGCCACTGATGGTGGACATGTATCTACAGGATTTAACATTTGCCCTCCAGATTGCAGGCTTGCTTTGGTCCCATTCCTCTCTATGCTCCATGTCTCCATTTGTAGTAAGAATATTGATTCTGCATTATTGTATGCTAAATGTATGGAACTTGTGACTAAAATTTTTTAAATAAAAATTTATTTAATTTATGTATATGAGTGCTATGCCTGCATGTACGGCTTTATGCCAGAAGACAACATCAGATTCCACTATAGATGGTTTGAGCCATGTGGTTGCTGGAAACTGAACTGAGGACCTCTGGAAGAACTGTCAGTACTCTGAACCACTGAGCTATCTCTCTAGTCCCAATGGACTGTTTTAGTTTTTTCTAGAAACTCTGTGTGGTCTTGACTATCCTGGAACTCACTCTGTAGATCAAGCTGGCCTTGAACTCAGAGAGATCTGCCTGCCTCTGCCTCCAGAATGCCAGAAATAAAGGACTGTGCCACCACCTCCTGGCACTACTAAAATTTATACTCACAGCTAAGAGATTTCTACTTCAGGAGACTTTAAGCTCGTCGCTCTGAATGATGTTGGAACTGTTAAGATTTCAGGGACTATCAAAGATGCACTAAATACATTTTGCATTATGAGACAAACATAAGTCTTTGGGAGCCACAGATATACTAGTGTTGGAATTGGTGGTGTATTAAAGGTCTAGTTCCCAACTGTTGATGCTATTTTGGGAGTTTCTAAAAATTATAATAGGTTGGATTTAGCAAAGAAGTGGTTCACTGAGGTTAAATTCTTAGAACTATTGTTTCCCTGGTTTCCATACACACCCTATTCTCTGCTTCCCACCCCCCACTTGTCTCCTATGTGCCATAACAATGCTTTCTACTACATACTCTATTCTATACAATGATGTTCTGCCTTTCTGCACATGGGTCCAAGATTAGAACCATTAGAACCATAGAACCATAAATTGAAAGTGAGCCAAAATAAATATTCTCTTCGATGACTGTTCTCATATTTGACATACTAGTGGAAAGTCTAACACAGTAAGTGATCTAGAGTAAATATTTATACCATAGGAAATAAACAAATACCATGCCATTTTACTCAAGGAACTTGAGCACCTATGGGTATTAATATCTGTGGGGAGATCCTAGACCAATCCCAATAAATTTCAAAGGAACAACTGCATTCTTCTAAACTTAGGGGAACAGGGGCATACAATGAATAAAAGAAGCAAATGCAAATTGTAACACCTAAACATTCTATTTTCCACATACCTTTACGTAAAATCTGTATTATCTACTTAAGAAACCCTTACCTAATCTGTTCAGTCTGTACAATCCCTTCTTTATGGCCTTCCAAACGAGCTGCCAATCTCTCTTTATCAAGACGCACACACTCTTCATCCTAAAAATAATTACGGTTAGTAACATTAAGTTTTATTTAACTTTACATGGAAAAAAAAATCACTAAACATAACTTCTTACCAAGATTACCACAGAATAGTTCCACGCAATGTTGGACTTAAATCAACTTTAAGGCCTTCTATTTTCACAAAGACAATAGTGTATTTTGAATCATTTAAGTCTGGAACTGATTTCTGAGGTTCTTCAAGTTACAAGGATTATAGGGCTATGATCTAATAAACCATGTATGCTGGCTAATTTTATGTCAACTTGAAACAGGCTTGCATCATCTGAGAGGAAGGAACCCCAATTGAGAAAATGCTTCCATAAGTTTGGGCTGTAGACAAGCCTATACAGCACTTTCTTAATTAGTGATTGATGTGGGAAGGTCCAGCCCATTGTGGGTGGGGTCATCCCAGGGCTGATGGCCCTGGGTTCTATAAGAAAGCAGGCTGAGCAAGCCAATAACATCATCTCCTGCCTCCAGGTTACTGCCCTATTTTGAGTTCCTGTCCTAATTTCCCTCAATGATAAACGATAGATATGGAAGTGAAAGCCAAATAAATCTGTTCCCAACTGCTTTTTGGTTACAATGTTTCATCACAGCATCAGTAATCCAATTTAAGATACCACGGCAAATTTAAAACATAATAAGCCAAAAATGTGTTCAACACATCTACCTACTAATATCATAGCTTAGTGCTGCTTACTTGAACATATACGAGCCTCCAAATAACACAAAACCTGTTTTATTATAAAGTGTTGGACATCTCACATTTTACTGAATATTTTACTGAAAGGAAACTAATGTCTCCTAAACATTTATGTATTGCTTTTGCATCATCAAAACTAAAAACACTGAAAACCATCTATAAGGGTTTACAATAAGATGCCCAGACATCTATTTCTATGTTCTCTCCCAAAAAAAGTTTTAGATTTATTTAGGTGTACTGAGTGTGTGCTGTTTTTGTTTTTGTTTCGTTGGCTGGTTGGTCTTGGTTTTGTTTTGTTTTGTTTTGTTTGCTCGATTTTTAAAGACAGGGTTTCTCTGTGTAGCTTTGGTGCCTGTCCTGGAACTTGGTCTTATAGACCAGGCTGGTCTCAAACTCACAGAGATCCACCTGCATTTGCCTCCTAAGTACTGGGAATAAACGTGTGAGCCACCACTGCCTGGCAGTACTGAGTATTTTGTCTGCATAAATGTATGTGCACTACATGCATGCATGCTGCCTGCAGTTATATATAGATAAGAGTTATGGATGGTTGTGAATCACTAGTGGGTGCTGAGACTAAACCTAGGTCTTCTGCACTTGCTCTTAACTGCTGAACCACCTCTCCAGTCCCTATAGATCCATTCTTAATGAAAAAAAATATCTAGCATTTAAAGGAAGTCATTATCAAAGTTAAATGTTTCATTTTGTGGTGTGGGAGAATTGCCTGTATTCTGTCAATCATGTTTTAATTAAATGCTGATTGGCCAGGCAGGAAGTATAGGTGAGATAACCAGACAGGAAGTAAAGGTGGGGCAATGAGAACAGGAGAATGCTGGGAAGGAGGAAGCCCATTCCTCCACAGTCCTGTCTCAACCACCTAAGAAGCAAGATGTAACCGGCGCCACTGAAAAAATTACTGAGCCATGTGGCTAACACAGATAATAATGGGTTAATATAAGTTATAAGAACAAATAGGAAGCCTGAGCTAATGGGTCAATGAGTTTATCATTAATGTAGACTTTCTGTGTAATTTCTTTGGGGCTTACCAGTTGTGGGAACTGGGCAGGACAAAAACCCCAACAAGCAGGCCCTCATGTTACAGAATGGCGCCCATGTGAATAACTGCATCCACAGAAAGCCTGAGAAAGCTTGGGAAAGAATAGAGTAAAGCATGTTTTCTTGGTAGCAGCAATTTCTCAGGTCTGCTCTGCTTGATAGAGGCAAGCAAGCTCTTTCATCTAAGAGAGGCTTCCTGACTCAGCTTTAGCTATAAAACCTTGCAGCTCTTTTAAGAGGTCCTGCCATGAACACTTAAATAGTATTGATGAAAAGCTAAATGCATGCTTTTCCGTTTTCAGCCATAGCAGAAAAAAAAGCTGTGCCATTTTAAAATGCCAGTCATCCTGCCAGGGCAAACTATGACTCAGGCAGGCAGTCCGACTACGGATCATCTGAGTGTGGTGTGTGAGCACACTGCTGCAGTTTGCTTGCTGGCAGGAACATTGAAATGCCATAGAGTTGTGGCAATAAACATGGCTACAGCCGGCACCTCCACTATGAGGCTGGAATCGCAGAAAGCTAAGGAATGGGCTGGATCCAGCCGTCAAAGCCATGGCTTTAATCCTAGCCACATTGCTTGGTAAATTAAAGGCTCATGTGGTCAGAAAAAGAGAGATATATGGTAAAGAGAGATTCAAAGATGAAGAAAACCTCTAGAGGGTTTACAGTGTGTTAAAAATATGTGCAGGCATGGAAAAAAAGGTTAAAGTCCTTAAAATAAAAAAAAGAAAGAGTAGTTGAGTATGGTGGTACACACCTTTAATCCCAACACTTGGGAGCCAGAGGTAGACTGACCTCTGTGACTTCAAGGTATGGCAGCATACACCTTTAATCCCAGCACTGGGGAGGTAGAGACAGGCGGATCTCTGTGAGTCCAAGGATAGCCTGGTCTACAGAGTGAGTTCTAGGACAAAGATACACAGAAACCCTGTCTTAAAAAGCCATAAATTAAAAATAAAAGAAATAGACTTTAAAATAAAGCCACATAATGATGGAAAATACAGAGAATCTTGATACTGTGTGTTATTATGCTCTCTTTGAATTGTCTAAGTGCTGAGGAAGGAGCAACAGCTGCTAAAAGATATTTGCTTTTAAATGCTGCTGAATTAATCCAAGAGAAGTATTTTGAAAATACCTTGACTTCAAAATTGAAGTCAAGAGGTATGTTACTTTGGAGAAGAGATTTTGCTTTTGTTTCCACAGAAAATGAGAGGCTTTCTGAGTTAGGAAAAATCAGGTTTGATCAAGGAAGACCACCTGAGAAATCTCCCATTGGAACAGACAGCCTGGATGTCCAAGTTCTGCATCCAGAACAGATTCTGCCTGAAATGATCAAGACTCACAGGATACTTCAGTCAGGACTTGATCATAACTCTAAATTTTCTTTATGTCCCATAAGATTATCAGTGCCCCCAGCCAGCTGGAAGTAGCATGGAATACTACACCCACATTTCCATAAAATGAGCTATGGATATTTTCCTTTGTTTAAAAAAAAAAAAAGGAAAAAAAAAAAGAGAGGGAAGTGGTGCGGGGAGAATTGTCTGTTTTCTGTCAATCATGTTTTAAATAAACGCTGATTGGCCATGCAGGAAGTATAGGTGAGATAACCAGACAGGAAGTAAAGGTGGGGCAATGAGAACAGGAGAATGCTGGGAAGGAGGAAGTCCATTCCTCCACAGTCCTGTCTCAACCACCTAAGAAGCAAGATGTAACTGGCCTCACTGAAAAAGGTACTGAGCTATGTGGCTAACAAAGATAAGAATAATGGGTTAATGTAAGTTATAAGAGCAAGTAAGAAGCCTGAGCTAATGGGCCAATCAGTTTATTATTAATATAGTCCTCTATGTGATTTTCTTTGAGGCCTAAAGACTGTGGAAACTAGGCAGGACAGAAACCCCAACAAGCAAGCCCTCCTGTTACAATTTTGGATACCAATTTTTTTTCATCTGGTGCCACAGGTCCCAAAATCTACCAAATACAAGTCAAAACACCAGAAGAACACTTGAATAGCTTTTGAAAGGCAAGTTCCTTGGCACATTAAAATCTCCCTACAAAGTTCTCAATAAACTATTTCAAAATCTTATCTTGTTGGGGCTGGAGAGATGGCTCAGAGGTTAAGAGCGCTGACTGCTCTTCTGGAGGTCCTGAGTTCAATTCCCAGCAACTACATGATGGCTCACAACCACCTGTAATGAGATCTGGTGCCCTCTTCTGGCCTCCAGGCATGGAGGTTGAACACTGTGTACATGATAGATAGATAGATAGATAGATAGATAGATAGATAGATAGATAGATAGATAAATATTTAAAAAAAAATCTTATCTGGCAAGGCTGTGTGGTTCACACCTGTAATCCCAGAAGTCAGGATGCTTAGGAAGAACATCAAGAGTTTAAAGACAAGAATGGCTACAACTATGAGCTTGAGGTAAACCTGGAAAATGAGATTTATAACTTCTATTAAAAAGCCATGAGAAATTTCGTTTGAAAGATATGTGGATGATTAAGAAAAAAAACCAATGAAGTGACAAATAAAAAAACAAGGAGTAGGTCAAAGAATAAGGCCATATGAAACTATACATAATACATTAGCATAGTTAAAACACCAAAAGAAAAAAATATTGGGCTCCAATTCATGCCGTTAGTTTTCTACTATGTAAAAATGTTTAAAAAAAAAAGACACATCAGCAAAGATATTTATCAAATGCATTTAATTTTTTCTATTGGTAAGGAAGTTATAATCTATGATGGTCAAGGTCCTCAAGAAACTACTAATTTTAAAAAATACAACCAAAATTTTAATCAAATCAGAAGCCCTTTTCTTTTTCCTTCCATAGTGTCTTAGAGAATTCAACTTATCGAACTAGCAACTACTACAAATGTTTATGTTGTAACTTTATGTATGACATAGAAAGGAGAATGTTACAAGTTACTGGTAGCTTTGGCATTTAGCTTCCGTGGGTGCTGATTTTTTTTTTCAAATAATTACATTCTGATGTTTTCATGTCTCCAAATGCAGTCACTGTTTTGATATTGCCAGTCTTCTTTCATATAGAAGGAAATGGGAAAACTTTCAGTTTAACTGTCACAAAATTCACAGACAGCAGCATGGCTTAGCAGTCAGACTACCTTGGTTCTAATTTTGGTTCTACAAACCTCAGTAATTCTAGTAGCTTTTATTCCCTAAAAAGTAGTTTTATTAGAACAGCCACATCTATCAATTTATGTGTGATTTAGAAATTCTTCCCCACTACAATAACAGAGAATAGAATGACAAGACACAGCAAGATGGAGGTGCAGCAACTCTGACTGCAGGGCCCTGAAAACCTAAACTATTTAGCACATGACCTTTAACATGATCAGATAATAATTTCTTACTATAGATCTAGGACACTGTTTTCATCAAATAAGGCAAAGAATAGCAAAGAAAATAAAATGGCATATTCACCACAGAACTTAATACAATAATGCAAGCCACCTATTGATCTACTTTTCCGGGGGGAAAAAATAGCTACTAGAATTAGTATGAAGAATGTTTGTTTTTCAAGACAGGATTTCCCTGTGTAACCCTGGCTGTCCTAGAACTCACTTCATAGACCAGGCTGGTCTTGAACTCAGGGATCCTTCTGCCTCTACCTCCTAGGTACTGGAAGTACAAGCATTTGCCACCACTGTCCAGCCTATGAAAAATTCTTATTTCTACAAAATTCCAGTTTCAGTACAAATAAAATTACTTAAAAATAAGAGTTTGTTACCTCAATTCGTGGTTTCTTTGCTTCTGCTAAAACTTCATCTGCAGCTCTTTTGACTATAAGAAAAAAAGGAGCAAGTAAGTGTGCATTTTATGAAAGGGTTTTTCTAAGTTCAAGATAAAGAAGTGACACAATGTACCTTGAGTGGACCGCTGAAGACCTATTTCCAGGGGTGCACTCCTATCAATGCTGGCTGATGTTGCTGAAAACAGAAAAGAAACATCATATAAGCAGATCAGCATTTGAGCATATATTTTGGATATTATTCCAGGGGATATGTTCAAGTTTTGTTTTATTTCTTATACTCATAGAAAGATTTCCCTACGTAAAATGGTTTCAAAAAGCAGCTCTATACAAGTATTTGCTTAATAACATGACTCTGTATTTAAAAATCTGTAAAAGACAAATAATTTTTAATAATTTAGCTTACAGACTAGTGAGATGTTAATTACATAAGTTAACTGATCAGTTCAGATTACACTCCTCTATAACAAACACATTTAAAGAATATGCATTCCCCAGATACTTAAATATGCACATATAGACTATCACGTTAATTATGCAAATTTTAGTTATTCACAATTGGTAGGACACTTCCAACTATCCTTCAAATTATTTTTTTAAGATTTATTTATTTATTTATTTATTATGTAGGCAGTGTTCTGCCTGCATGTGTACCTGCAACCCAGAAGAGGCACCAGATTCCATTATAGATGGTTGTGAGTCACCATGTGGTTGCTGGGAATTGAACCCAGGAACGCTGGAAGAAGAGTCAGTGCTCTTAACTGCTGAGCCATCTCTCCAGCCCCCCAAATTATTTTATTTTTGAATGGCTCAAAAAGTTCATTGATAACTCCCCTAGCTGTCTTGTATATCCTTCTAAAAATCCAAGAAACACAAATTATACTTTATTTGTACCTTTGTGCACAAAGGCAGCATAATGCACAGAATATTCTAAAACTTGTTTCTCATTTACAAAAGACACCCCTTCCATACCAGTACATAGGCTAGTTCCCCACTCCTTTTTCTTTTTCTATGGGGTATCCTATTGTATGGAATAATTATAATTCATTTGACTGGTTCCCCTTGAGTTGACAGTTCAATTCTAGATCTTTTGTTATTACAAAAAATAGTATGACGAAACTTCACATGTATGTTGACTTTTTACATTTTAAATATAGCTCTAGGATAGTTCCAAATGTAGGTTTTCTATTTCATTTGCAATGAACTGTAACAACTTCAGGAAGAAAATAAAGTAACACAACCAACAATGCTAACAGCCTCATCAGAGTTCACTGATAAACAGCAAAATTCAAAATCTTATTTTTGTAGAAATTTATAATAAATCAAATCTGCAAGTGGTTTATCACCTTTTCTGTTAATTATATGTTAGTTATATGTTGATTATCAGTACTCAAGTTATTGGTCTTTTATGTGTCTATTTCCAAGGTCACACTTCATGACTGACTCTATAGTAGTGGAAACAATTTCCCAGTATATCAAGGCCTTTTGTTTTTTCTTTTCTTTTTGTTTCTGCTTGTTTGGGGGCTTTTTTGTATTTGTTTTTTGTTTTGTTATCAAGACAGGGTTTTTTTGTGTAACCCTGGCTGTCCTGGAACTAGTTCTGTAGACGAGGCTGGCCTAGAACTCACCAAGATTCACCTGTCTCTGCCTCCCGAGTGCTGGAATTATCCTTATCCACCACTGCCTGGCTATTTTTTTATGATACAAAACTTTTTTCATTTTTATCCAATTATTAACTGATAATCCCACCTTCTTCCATTGCTCTGGAATGTCTTACTCCAATGTTAAATTGTTACGTGTATTTCTGGAGTCAGATGCACTACCATCATACTACAAGGCCAGTCTCACATTTGTATTTCTTATCTAACATACAAAAGTTGTTTTATTAATGTATCTACTCATTCTCAGTTTTTTAAATCACTAGGTCTTTACGTTCTACACTCCAGAATCATTAGTCTCTTCTCATTGCTTTTCCTCAAATTAAGATACTCAATTTTACCAAATAAAATTTAAAATTTATGTAGCTGTACTGCTCAACAGTTAATGTCTTTAAGCTATTGATTATAACATTTTAACTGCTGTTCAACTTTTTCATTGAACGTGATTACAAATCAACAAAACAGTATATTTGAAAACTAAATTTGTCCTACAGAAAACACAAAAAATTATGTGAATTAATAAACAATTCATTGAGATTCTCCCAAAATGAATGCATTTACCAAGTACATCTGAGACACTTAGTAAAACTGAAAAATCCTACACTCCCTTCAATATGTTTTTTACGACGCAATTATAGTGAGCCTAAGAAGAAGTGTATTTTATTAACAGGTATACCATGATTCTCGTGCTCCAAATAATTAAATTTGTTTTGATTCAAAACAGACAAAAATAAAAAGCTTTTTTGTTATCTTTCCATCTCAACTGCCTTTCCAGGAATGGATTCCTTCTCATTCCTTGTCTACTTTGTATGAGAGTAACAAGACTCTGCATTCTGTGCTATGCCCAGCATAATACGACTTAAGAATAAGCATGATGGGAACAGGTAAAGTACTTGCCACAGCAAACCTAGCAACCTGACTTTGATTCTGGGAAGCTACAGGAAGGTAGAAGAGAACTGAATCCAAGGAAGTCTCTGAGCTCCACATACAAGCTGTGGCACATATTACCCCCACACACATACAATTTGAAAAAAAAAATGTAAAGAATAAGTCAGACATTTTCAGAATAGCACAAGAAAACAGTCCTGGAGATCTTTCTATTAAGCACAATATTCTCTACACACACAAACACTACAGCTTAGAAACTTGGGGCAGAATGTGTAACATAACTGTTATTAATGGCTTAATGGTAATAAATTCCATCCCAGGGAAGGTGAGATCTATTTTTTTCTATAATACTAATTTATGTATACTAGAATAAAAAACTATTCATTCTTTCAATTACTATACACCACTGTTCTAAACTTTAATGAGTAATAAAGTAAGACAACTGGACAATTTATCCTTTAAAGTTCAGTCTCTAATAAAGAGTATCCAAATAAACAATAAATAAAATTTCAGATTAAAAATATAGTATTTGTTTGGAAAATATATAAGATTTGATTACATATAGACAGATATGAGGGTGGATGTTACACCATATTTTAGAATGGTCAGAGATGTCTTCACTGATAATTCCTGAAAGAATATTTGGGCACGGAGGGAAAATAAGAGCCCAATAACAATACAGAAAATTGAAGGCAGAATTGTAAACGCAGAGGTTAACTAAACCAACTGAAACATCAATACACTGACTCCTTTGATAAAGGAAGAAAGATGGAAGATAAAGCCATAGAGATTTAGACAGAAACATGATCAAGGAGTCCACACAGTAAGAAGTATGAGCTTTACCCTAAGTGTGATGGAACCCACAAATGGCCTTGAGCAGATAATTGGCACAATTAAATAAACATACATTTTCAAAAACAAATCTTGTTACAGAATAAACTGTAGCAGATAAAGAGTAGAACATAGGAGGTTTAGATGAAGAAGAGAAGTAGGATAGGGTTGGAGTAGAGTGGGAAAGCTGTCATGGTTACAGGCAGAGAAGAGGATGTAACAAATGGTGGATATGTCAGAAAATCATTTCACTAGGGTTTAAGGCCTAAGTCACAGCATGAAGTTACATAAGGTACCATCACTCCTTTCTAAGATGAGAACAGACTCACTGTTTTGTTTTGTGTGGGAAGGAGTAAATTAGGCACACTATTTTGGACATTCAGAAGCCTGTTAAACATTTAAAGGAAGACGACAACAGTAAATGTATAAATATGAAGCAGAGTCAGTGGGAGATATAAGCAAATGACTCATAAACATGGAGGTTGGGGCACTGATTCTCTCATCAAATTGAAAGTTCATGTATAAATCTGACTGCTCAAAAAATTAATACACTGATTTTTACCAGAAGCTACTTAACAATAACAGGCAGCAAGCCATATTTTAGTATGCTGCACACATGATATATGATGAAAAATATCTAAGAACTGCAAGAAATCACTTCTTAACAATAATATACAATATTCTGAAGAGGTAATCTCATTACAAGATTACATAGCAGGAGACATTTTAAGCAGATACTTGTGCTGACTGAGTTTTTATTACAACTGATAGAGGAGAGGACTATAAAGCTATAACATACTATCCCTTTATTTTGTACTTAATACTGCATTTTACGTTTGTTTACATTTCTCGCAAAGGTGAATGCTATCAATATGGTATAGAAATATCATGTGCCTAAGTAAGTTTTAATTGTGTATAAAAGACTTTTGAATTATAAATGAATAAAGATAATTTACATTTATTACAAATCTGTCATTGTATTTTTAAATTATTTTTAAGTTAGTATATAACATAATAATATACCTTTTTCATATTCTTTGTGATGGCTTATGTTTTCCAAAGCAGTCACAAATCTTAAAAAAAAAATCCTCACTACACATTAGCGGACCTGCACTTATCAAACCCATGTTGTTCAAAGGCCAACTGTTTGGAATTCAGCAATATGTATTTACATAACATTTATATAACATAACAATTACAACATAAAACTTAGAAGACATCACCTAGAGATTCAATGGTTATAAGAGAAAAAGAAATATCAAGCCATAGAAAACTTCCTGGCTAGCTTTATGTCAATTTGGAAAGAGGAAACCTCAATTGAAAAAATGCCTCTGTAAGATTATCTGTAGAAAAAACTGTGGTGCATTTTCTTGATTGAAGACTGATGGGGGGGGGCAAGTCACTGAGGTTGATACCATTCTTGGGCCCCACAATGGTCCTGTGGGCCATAAGAAAGCAGGCTGAGCAAGCAATGAGGAACATGTCAGTTAGCACTCTTCTAGGGCCTCTGTATCAGTTCCTGCCTTGACTTCACTGGATGATGGACTACAAGCTGTAGGGCAAAAATAAATGCTTTCCTTCCCAAAGTGATTTTAGTCATGGTGTCTACTCAGAACAATAGAAAACCTAAGACAACTAATATTAGGCACAGAAGTGACAAAATATTCTGAAAGGTAAATAATGAATAGAAAGAATAACCAAAGTCTACAGTACCCAGTGTCAAGTGAAGGACTTCAAAGAAGCACTCTTCAACACTATCAAATATTCACAGTTAAAGGGGGTAAAAGGAATGTGGCAACTACCAGTGAATCTGACTTAAATGGGATGGTGAGAATGAAATCTAAGCAGGAGGAACTTTGAGCATGTAAAGAGGAAGTGGCAATATTATGTCAATTCTTTCTTTTTATGGAAATAAAAAGAAAACAGTGATAAACAGAAATCTGGAATCAGCCATGTGGTGGTGGCACACACCTTTAATTCCAGCACTTGGGCAACAGAGACAGGTGGATCTTTCTGAGTTCAAGGTCAGCCTGGTCTAAACAGTGAGCTCCAAGATAGCCAGGGCTATATACAAAGATACAAAGAGACCCTGTATCCAAAAAAAAAGAGAGAGAAAGAAAAAGAAATAAAGAGAAAAATATGAAATCAAAAATAATTTTTAAAGACTAAATATTTCTACATGTATATAATAGGTGATAATTCAGAAGGAACAGAAAACAGTAAAGCAAGACAGAAATAATAATTGATAGAGACAAAAGTCTTTGATTATGAATAGAACCCTCATGCAACTACATGCAGAAGCACACAGACCAGCTTCAGGTAAGGTACTCAATGGAAATACAAACTTCCCTCTACATCTTATTGCATAGGGAAGATTAAAGAAAACAGAAACACAATGTTTAAACGTGGGAGCAATTTTAAAACTACTCACATGCTTCCCCATTGAGATATCCAAGTAGATCTTTTCGGTCAGGTCTTCTAACCACAGGAATATTTTCAGTCTAAAGTCAAAATTTTAAATTAGATATTGAATGGTAGGAACTATAAAACTTGATAAATATCATGTAATCTCTGAATTTATCTAACATACATGTATTTAAAGTCACGAGTTTTTTTAGAAAAAAGCTTTCTATCTAAAAATCTTGAAAATTTCTCAAATATTAATTTTCAGTAATTATACTTTGATAATTTCAGAAAGATAAATTCAAGACACTTGGTTGAAAGCAAGTAATAATAACTGTATCTTTTTTCAAAGTATCAATCTCAGGCTCTGGTTTTTTTGTGTGGTTTTTTTTTTTTATTTTAAACAGGGTTTCGTTGTGTAACCTTGGCTGTCTTAGAACTAGTGCTATAGACAAGGCCGGCCTAGAAGTTAGAGATCCCCCTGCCTCTGCCTCAAAAGTGCTGGGATTAATAGAATGTGCCACCACCACCCAGCTGTTACTTATTTTCTAATTTCACTCAGGATGTTACACACATAGAGGGTCACTATCTTTTCAGTCCCAATGTTGACTCACTTTATACTTTGTAGTGCTTTCTTCCCCACAGACCAAACCTCTTCAAACTACTCAACTGAAACTCTTCCAAATGAACTACATAAACCACTAAATATAAATTTTGATAATTAACAGGTATATGAGAAAAAGAAAATGTTAATTGTAGTAGTTTACCACATTAGAGCCATCTAAGAAGCTGCAATAAAAAGAAATGTATGAAGCTGCAATAAAAAGAAATCATACATTTCTTTTCATTGTTGGGTATATAAATTCAGATAACAAAGAAAAAAAGATGTGAAAAACCCTATCTGAAAAGATGTTATTGATTTTAGAAAAATGAGTAATTTTCCTTTAATCTAACTACAGTCATCATTTTTAAAACTGACTTAAACTGGCCTGGGGAGATGGCTCAGCAACTAGAGTACTCTCTGCTCTCCCAGAGGACCAGAGTTTGATTCCCAGCACTCATGTCAGGTGGCTCATAACCACCTGTAGCTCCAGTTCATGGGGAGGGCTAGATTCCTCTGGCCTTATCTGGTACATGTACTTATGTGTACTTAAGACATATACAGAGACACATAATTAAAAATATCACAACTTTTTAAAAGATGATTAAAACACATAAAATGTACACTTCAGGCATCAAGTCATCTTTGGGCCAATGAATTCTGCCATTACCACATTTTTTCTCATCATTTTTCTAATGTAGGCAACAGAGTGAAAGAAAAACTGGTTGCCAAGGGATTACACAGATTAAAATCTTTGTCAACTACTATAAACAACAATGAAGTAATAAGAACCCTTAGTATCACTAGTCAATTACCTCACAATGACCACGATATGTCACAAGACCCAGTATTTGTACATACTTTTTTCTGGCTTAGCTGAACAATTTTTTTTTTTAAGTCAGGCTAAATTTTAGTTTTCCCTTATGTGTGTGTGTGTATACATATATGGGTATGTATACACACACACGTTTAAAAACCTGAAAATATTTCTGTCCTTTTCAATTTTTAATCAACTACACGGACTAGTACACATATCTGAATGTTACACATAGCTGGTTAATTCCTATCTCCCTTGAAGTACGGCCCACATGGGAAGCTGCAGGTCTGCTGACACTAAAAGGCACCAGGGGTCGGGAGCACCTCAGGAAGAGTCGGCGTGCAACAAAGAGCAAGTAACATGGCAATTGACTAGAGAACTTTAGATAAGAAAAACAAGTGTTATATCTTATATGACTTTAAAATACTAGGGTCCACAGTAACAACTCTATAAGTTATAAACTATAACCACTCTACAAGAATAGAATCTTTATAACTCGAAGTACTTAAATTATTTAACAAACAATTCTAATTATTGCTTGATTCAGTTTTGGTTTTTTGTTTGCTGGTTTTGTTTTTCGTTTGTTTGTTTTGGGGGGTTCTTTTCTTTTCTTTGAGAGATGGTTTCTCTCAAAGTTCCAGCCTTGACTGTCCTGAAACCAGGCTGGCCTCAAACTCAGAGATCCACCTGCCTTTGCTTCCCAAGTGCTGGGATTAAAGGGATGCACCACCACTGTCCACTGCTTGACTCAGTTTTTATTTAAAGATCTAATAAAGAACAATGTAATGGTCGATTGCTAATATTTCTCTACTACTTACTAATTTTAAGGTTTTTTTAAAATATATTTAACACTGAATATGCTTCTTGCTCAGAAAAGCGGTTCTACAGAATACTGAAGCCCATTCAACGGTGAGTCCTTTCTCACCGTTGGTCCAAATAACAAGTTACTATTCAAAAACCTCACCTATCACTGCTTTGGAGAAAAAGTTATAAAAGTAAATTTCCCACAACATGTGATCCAGCAGTAACGTCAGATATGAAAAAGTAGTAGCTCTAGTGATGGAAGGCACAATGATGGTCCTTAGGAGGAGTCTGTTTAAGACTTTTAAGACATAAAAGTACTATTTTAAATTAATACAACACAGTAAAGTATGTACTCAAAAGTTAAGACAACATTTAGAGTGGATATCTGATTATATCAATATCTCCAAAATAATTCTATATCATACTCCACCAAGGTATCTGATAAGGATCTCATTTTTAACAAATGCTAAAGGACTGGCAGTATCTCTACAGTACTTGTCTGCTATGCATGAAGCCCTGGGTTCAGTGCCTAACACCAGATAAACAAGGATTGATTGCACACACATCTCATCCCAGCACTTGACTTAGTGGCAAGAGAATCAGAAATTTAAGGTCATCCTCAACTACATGAGGATGTAAAAAATGTCTACTGTTATAAACATTACCTAGATTTTACAGAAATAATGAATTGCCAACTAAAACAACTGAATAAATCACATAGCAGCTTAATTTTGATTCTCCAAAATAATCTCAGACATTTGGAAACCATGAGGGGAGTTATATACACCAAACAACTGCTTAGTCAATAAAATTATAAACTGAATTCTACTTACAGCTGCACGTCGGACATAAACAGGGTGAGAAAGGTGCACATTATTAAGTAGAAATAAGATAGAATCCAATGTGTAGTATTCTCTGGGTTGGCCTTCCTTTCCAGTCCTAAAATGATTAAAGCATGAGTTTTATTAATTTTTCAAATCAATTATTTGACCTTAGTTACATGTATTTGTTATCTATATCTAGTAGATTATCTAACAATGTATTTAACATAGCAAAAATATGCATGCAATATAAACTCTCAATAAGTGAGTTGTTGGGGCAAAAAGACAAAATAAAAAATGAAAGGAACAGGGAGGACATATAAATTCACACCCTAAAATACTATGTATACTTTTTCTTTTCTATTTTTAAAACAGGCAAGGTCTCATGTATCCCAGCTGGCCTCAAATCTGCGCCACAGCTGAGGGTGGCATGTTGTGTGTGGTGTTAGAGATCAAATGCAGGAACTTACTCCTATTAGGCAAGCATTCTTTCTACCAACTGGGCTACATCCTCAGCCTCACTTTACACACAAATAAGACCTGAATTGGTGTAGGCCCATATTTCTATATGGTGTGGCAGCCAGGCTCTGAAGCCATAGGCCTCACCTGAGGTGGTCAGGTAGCCCTGCAGACACAGGCTTGTCATTGCCCAAAGGGTCAGGATGTTGTTGCTCCTTTCTTTGTAATTTGGAGGATGCCTGATAGAGATGCTGATTCAAGCCTACATGACAGCTAGCACACAGAGCAGATAGTAATTGTGGACAATGACAAAAAGCCATTCACCTAGTTACCTAGGAGACAGAATGCTAATGTATTTCCCCTAAGTTAGTATAAAGACTGTTTGGGAAATAAACGGAGAAATTCTTCAGGATGTGAACTCAGAACATCATGAGGGACCACTAAAAAATCTCCCTCCAAATGAAACCATGTGAGTCGCGTCTTTATTCCCGTCTCCTCCACGCCAGTCCAGAGAGAGATAGTTTATGTTGGGGTCTAGTAAAGAAATAATTTAACCCAACAATTGGGTTCTGAGCTGTCAACAGAGGAAGAAACCCAACTAGTTGCACAATGGGAAGGATCACTCAGAGAAAACTACTTAGGGGAAGGTATCACTAGGGCTGGCTGCACTTAAAAAATAAACATGTTATAGTTCTTTTAAAAAAGATACTGCCCTACAGTATCCTCAACAATATTCCCAAAAGTAAACAGGGTGAACTTCAAGGGTATGATTCTTATAATGTCTCTCAATCTAAGACAGACCAGTGACACAAAACTAAAACATAATTCTATCAGTGATTAAACAGTGTAGTCTTAGGGGATACACAGTTTTCCAACTTTCCCTTCCCCCTCCATCTACAGTTATGATGGTTAAACTATATGAATCCATTTGAATACAGCTCCTAAGCCTACTTTACTAGCCTCTATTATCACTTTTCTTCTAAAGTGATACATCAAATCAGCCATTACTTGTTAATTATTATACAAACTAATTATAAAAAGAGCAGAAAGCACTGAATGCATTAAGGGTAATGATTAATCTTTTATATATGTACATATTCAGATGTGTATACATGTGGAACATAACTATTAAAGATTTGATGGTGAGCCGGGCAGTGGTAGTTCAAGTCTTTAATCCCAGCACTCGAGAGGCAGAGGCAGGAGGATCTCTTTGAGTTCAAAGCCAGCCTGGTCTACAAGAACTAGTTCCAGGACAGGCTCCAAAAATACAGGGAAACTCTGTCTTGAAAAGCAAAATAAAATAAAATAAAGACTTGATGCTGAAAGTTTCAATTTTTTTTCTAAGCTTTATTTTTTCACTCGTTTATAAGCGCTTGTTCAAACATGTCCTTTCCAGATTTCATATCTCAAGTATACAGTTTCCTCACCCTGAAAGGCTATTCCACCGTTTCACGCAGAATTCTTACCCATTCTTTAAAGCTTGTCATCTGTTCATTTATTCAAGGAAGGGACTTTGCAGAATGGACACATGTCAAGCGCATTTTCATGAAACCCTCTCTAAATACCGACCCACACAAACAACTTGGGGGGGGGCGGATTGAGACAAGGTTTCTCTGTGTAGCCTCTGCTGTACTGGAACTCGCTCTGTGTACACAACTAGCCTCGAAATCGCAGAGATCCGCCTGCTATAGCCTCCAGAGCGCTGGGAATAAAGACATACCCTGCCCGAGTTAGAAGTAAATGTAAACAACTGTTCTCTTTCTATAAGCTAGAAACACTTCACATCAATTTGTTTCAACAGATGAAACAAAATCTGTTCTAGATAAACTAGGGCAACTTCTCCTAAGGCAGGATCCGGAGTTTTCAGCTTTTTTTTTCTTCTATTTTTCAAATTAAACTTCTTTATACCTTGAGAGAGGTTTTCTGGGGGTGGCTGGGTGGTGTTTGGTTTGATTTTTGGAGACAGCATTTACCTGTTTAACAGCCCTGGTTATCCTGGAATCCTTTGTAGACCAGTTTGCCCTTGAATTCAGAGACCCCCACCCCCTCAACCCTGCCTGCCAAGGGCTGGGATTAACGGCGTGCGCCCCATGCCCGGCTATACCTCGAGGTTTTTTTAGGAAAAGCATTTATGAAAACCCAATAAAATATAATCATTAATTCTGCGTAATTCATTTGAAAGAGTAAAATACGGCAAACTTAGAATGTCACTTAAACAACTAGTTTTTAACTGACCATTCATCAAGTCATTCAATCAGAAAAAACTGGTACCAAAATTCTGACTCCATCATTCTAATTATCAAAGTGAAGCATCACTGCCAATAACATCGTTAAAGAAGCCCCAAAGGATTACTAAACTTGATTTCCTGAATAACTTAAATTCATGGCATGCATGGATCAATATTCCCAAACACTTTTCTTAAGGCGCTTTCCGAATAGCACATAGGATCAATTTCTCACACCCGTATGTATAGTGTAGTTCACTCCATTTCACCAATAACTTTCTTCCCAACAAAGTCCTGCTTCATCTCGAACACTGATTTTGCAGACTTCCAAACTTTCTCAATCTTTCATTCCCAAACTTCAAGCATTCCCTTCCATTTTTTTTTT